TAAATTTTTTGATAAAACAAAATTGTGTAATGATTATGAACAATAAGGGACATATATTTTCCTTATAAACTACTATGCATATTTAAAAAATAATTGTCATCTGATAAAATTTAACCTTCTAGAGCTAAATTACAAATATTTTCAATCAATTTAGGCATAGGTATTATGTATATAAATTAGACGATATGATACTATTACCAAGAAGTAAATGATCATCATTATAATATATATATCACACACTATAGCCTTTCAAGAAACTAAAATAAGCAGATAAAGGCTGGTACCTAGATTGTTGTCTTAAACGACAGTGACAAGGCACAGCCATTGCGTTAGCTTTTATAGTAATAAGATACCTATAGTTTAAATACTAAAATTCGAATACAAAAATGAATAATAATGCTTTTACAAGTACACTTAGAATATAAAAGAGAACAAATTATTTTAAACCGTATTATGTACTCAATATCATGAAACAGGTCATGTAAATAATTATTATTTTGTCAAGTCATCAATTATGGAATCACAATTTTTATTGATTCTTACTTATTAAAACTAGTTCTGATAATAATTTGGCTTTGTGGCTCTGTAATGTAATCTGTAGACACTAGATTGTAACTTTCATACTCTAAAGAAACCATACTAAACCATATTCGTAAAATTTCAGCTTGAAACTGTATTCATCGGTATAAATGTTTAAACAAACGTTCTCTTTTGAATGAACATACCTTTATACTTTGAGATGATTTTTTTAACCATAACATAATTAAGTTTTTACATTTTTAGTAGAAAATATTAACGTATTTGTCAAGACAAGAAATTATAATTTAAATTTAAAAAAAAACAAACATTCATTAAAAATTTAAATCACAAAAAAAAATGGTTATTATTCCTCACTTCCCTCATATAGTTTGTATGTAAATAAGTATGGACCAGAGTCTAGAGATAATTGGCCAAAGGCAACCATTTCAGAGAGTCCACGAAATTATGAATAAACACCTATTTATTTACAAAAAAGAATTCAAATCGTATAAATCAAAAGAATAATTGATCGTTTGGTGTGCTTTTATAAAAATAAAAATAACGAATCAATGTATAATATGAGTTATTCGACTAATTAGTTATTTATAATATGTAGTATAGTAAAATTGTATTTGTCGGTAATAGTGCGATTTGGTAATAGTATATTAACCTAAATATTGAGATTTCGAGCCAGCGGGCAATGGAACCGAAATAAATTAATTTAACTATTATTATTACTGACCTATATATTATAGACAATCCTCCGCCCTCCGGTGTTCTTTTTATAATTGTTTATTAAACCCGTTTTAAATCGTTCTAAATCACATCGATGAATAATAGTCATTGTATAATAAATAATAGGGTTCCTAAGACGTAATAATGTTTTTACTGTAAGCGTATACAATTTATAAATTTGGTAGTGCTGCTGCGTAGGCCAAATAGGAACTTATGGGTGTTTGATATTTATATGCAATTGAATATAGAAACAAAATCATGGCCTAATTTCGGGTGGTCCCAGGGGCATTATCATTCAGTCGCAACATTTTAAAGGCTCTCTGATTCTATTCGTGATTCAAAAATATATATAAATATACTTATGCGTACTTAATGGTTATTTTATACACCTTAGTATTTTGGCTCAAAAATTGGTTGATCAGACTTCTGACATTCTGAAAGATTGAAAGAAATTACTAAAACGGTAGGAATGGAGTACAGCAGAGTGTGTGTTGGAATAATCGATGTGATTAAGTCAGTATCAAGTGTGGACAATTGCTGTTTTGAAATCGCATATGGGCGTAGTATAGTGACATAATTGTCCTACGTAGCATGTTATGTTATGTCGACTAAGTCGATTTCTAAAAAGATAATAACGTGCCAAATAACTGGACGATATTTCCTTAATCCTTACACCCTGCAACTTAAAACGCGGAGAATCATTATAAATTATGTTAGCTAATCGTTGATCAGGAGAAAATACATTATGTCACATAAAACCTGCAAATCAAACCATTAAATAAAATAAAAATTTTAATTGATAAGTAGAATAGGATGATTGTATAAAGAATAATATAATTAATTATCGACAGCATATATTGAAATTAACTTCCAACCAAATTTTCATGGCTTATATGTAGAATACGTTAATGGTTAACACAATGAGGATATTTGAAGTAGTTTTAAGTAATTTTCCAAAATAACTAACCACACCAATATAATAGTCGAGATGATTTTTTTTTTTAATAAAATTATCTTTTTGCGCATAATAGCTCCAGTTAATTATTGTGAACGACTGAGCCAGTCTCATTCAATGTGCACGGTCTGCCTTTTTTCAGCAATTTTCATTTAATCATCAACATCGTTGTCTGCGACGATAGATGCGCAGGCACTCGTTTCAACCACAATTATATGGTTTCAGCTTTGACGTTTTAATAGATTAATAATATTTAACACACAAAGTACAGTATGAGATTGACGTTCAATGATTGTGCGAGCAGTGACCTGGTTTTCAGACTAAATATAATATATTAATATGAGCGTGATTGCTTAATACTTATAGGTATAAGGTATCGCTGCTACAAAGCACAAACAACGTAAACGTAAGTGTAAATATCTATACATATATTCATTTATAATGGTATCAAAGTTATCGGTACCTCAGGCCTTTTGTACCGGTAATGGTTGATAAAGCTCGGAAACGGTGATGTTATTGGCTTATATATAATACGAGTACTTATGGACGGGAAATATAGATGTTATATCGGTTGAGAATCCTGTTCATAAACGTTAATTTCAAGCCAATGCCACACAAAGCAACTGCAGAGATTATGTGTGTAGGAAATACTGTCATTAACTACTTTATTACATTATTGACTTCATTCGCGCCTTTGACGGTGTGACGGTAAAGCACACTATAACATAAATTATTAGCAATATTATATTCGTGGTAGAAGCGCACATTAGGGGAGAGTGATTACAACGAAATTACGCGTGTACAGTTTTCAAATTGTCTCTGTTATGGCGTACAAGATATTATACCCAATATTATATACATTAATATGAATATGAATATGTATAATATAGGTGTTTCGATTCTGACTCATAATAAGTCACGTGTGCTGCTGCGAGCAACTGCTTGTAAGCAATACAACATATTTACAGCAGGTAACACTTTAAATTATAACTATTTTATAAAATGTTTTGTTTAATATATAGTGCCGATGCGTAATAATAGCTCTTGGGTCCCAAACCAAAGGCTTCACAGTTCATTTTTTTATACATATATATATATATATATATATATGTATATTTATAGTTATCAATGGTCAAAGATTCAGGATCACATACAGTAATTGAAATGCATTATTTATTGAAAAACCTTTCGGTTCTTTACTTGGTGTCAAAACCAATTGGTTCTATCCATCTATATTGTAAAATAAATTAGGTACTTATAATGATGACCAAAAAGTACTAGGTATTTAAATTGTTTCAGCCATGCAATAATCAAATGGTAGTACCTTGTTATTAATTATTATTCTACATTCATCAACAAAATATAAAATTCTATTAATAATAGTAGATACACCATAATACTTTAATTTGGTTTTGACGTCATATATTCATAACCTGTTCAACGAATTTTGTTTGACAGAAAACATATATTTTATTTAGAAAAAAAAAGGTCACTCATTACACAGATTACCTAAGTGGCGTATAATGAAATGTAACAAAAGGGCTTATTCAAATTTTTACAAATTACAGGTTTTAATAATACAATATTACTCTTCTATAATTATGTTAGTGATTAAATCCAGTTACATTTTAGCTGTCATAACTTCAGTACAATGAGTTTAAAGCCTGATACCTGTCCAATTTCGACTACATATATATTTCTAAATATATCTTTTTAATTTAAGATTATTCGACAAAAGAAAAGAATTATTTACTTTCGAGCTTTGGTTTTGCCTATTAAAATATTGTGTAATATAAATATAACAACTGACAAATTATTATTTTTTAGATCATCACAAACATCGTTGGTCAAATAATATTTTAACGTCTCACGTTGAAAACACATTTTATAAAAAAGTTAAAATGTAGATACGAAAAACATAAATATGAACATATATAACCTTCAACATGTATTGATATATTTCAAATGTATACATTTATTATCAGTCTAACTTCAAATAAGCTATTATAACAGTATGCCCAAAAATACACAAGAAAAACAAACTGTATTAAGAATAAATCTAGATAGTAACTGCATCAATATTTAGAAAAGCAATTTAATAGGTACGTTTAACTGTAATACGATTCCATAAAAAAAGAGTTAAATGCGTATTTGATTGATTTGATTGTATCCATTCTTGGACTAAGGATCTATGTATAGCGTCTAGTGGTTAACATAATGATTGACTAGTTAAAAGTATGTACTACGTATGTTTATTAAAACTATATCAATGTGCAAACGGCTGCTTATAGCACAAGAATCTGAATTTTACAAATTAATAAATTATACATAGTTTAGCCTGATGTGAATATAATTAATTTAGTAGACACATTTTTATGTATGCGATCACAATTCAAAAATTGCATGCATATCTTTTATATTTTTACGTAGTATGATTTAAATTCATATTATATTATTATGAAATGTTTTTATTATTTTGTACTTTCATCGTATTTCAGTAGAATTGAAAAAATACACCCAAATCCAAGTAATAAACAAGTGCGCCTACATTTTAAATTAATACGATACAGTTTTTAACTTTGGAAGCGTTATACCTGTTACTATAAGAGTAGGTATATAAAATACTAAAATAATACAATATAATAAGTTTTCATTTCATTTTATTGTATTTTTATTTTATGTGGTTGTAAAATTATAGTACGTACAATATTATTATTGGATTTTATTATAAGTTTTTATTAAAATTAAAATATCAGGTTTATTTTAATTTTAATATTTTCATTCAACTTACTTTTCAATTTGAAGTTTTCAATTGTATCTAAAACAACGTGGCCTTCCAGAATTTCTCCTGCATAAAACATTTCTTTGTCTAATCTTATGTCAAATTCTCTGATGTAATCCATACTGTAGTTGATCTTTATCCAATCAAGAATATTAAATCAAAGTAATCGACTTCCTTGTTTTAAGTACTTGATGTCCAACACAAACGCTAAAACAAAAACCATCGATTAGATATATTATACTAAATATTTTAATTAAAAATATAACGTTAATATCCATCACTATGTTCCAAATATTGTATGAATTTCCCAAATCGTATCTTAAACCAAAATGCAAATTAGACGAGTCTTAACCATGAATAATTAGTTTAGTTTTAAATTATACTTGATCAATACATATTTTGTTCATTACGTTATACAAATGATGCATTGTTGACTTGTTGTTCTGAATATAATATGGGTAATATTATTTATTTCGAGGATGCGTATTGTACTTATTATTGTATGCTGCTGGCATTACATTTTTATATTCTGTCTTACGATGATATACTACAGCCTAAATTCTAATTATAATTCCAATAATAATAAGTATCGTTAAGTCGGTAAATTATTAAACGCGATTTAAGACGAACAATACTGTTGAACAATGAACATATATTATTACACAAAATCGTTAAGAAGACCCGCCACACCTGCTGTGTTTTCTCCATCTTACAAAAGTACAACATGGAACATTTTCGTTCGGCTGATCCAGTTTTGTGCTGTTACTGCCTGTTAGCATTAATATTAATATTTATTAACTTATCCATCAAACAACTCGAAGTAATGGCATTATTAAATTGTAATAATCCATAAACTCGTAACTCAAAGCCAAAATAGCATACAACAGGTAGCCATGGAATCTCTCGGTACAAAATGTAGTGGATTTTTGATTTTAAGTGGAGTGATAGAAATCTAATAGCTAGGGTTTCGTTTTCGTATTTTAGACAACGTTTATATTTGTAAACGACAAAATGGCAGTTTCAAAATGTCTCGATAAAATCAATATAATGTATTATTAATGTCGAAGTAATTTCATTACAATATCGTAGCCGCATAACAATAATGGTGTAGGTTGGAGCCCTTAAGATGTACACGAATAATGTCTAAACGGTTTTACAGGCTTTAGACAATAATATTATACTGGTGAAAATAATATGTTTCAAATATAATTTTCAGTATTTACAATTGCAAGGTACTAAGCATTTAAAGTTCAAACTTTGACAAAATACATCAAAATCTTGAAAATATACAAATTATTGTCGTTAAAAATGTATAAAATGTTCAATTTTTATAGCGAAAGATTGGAGCATTAAACAAAGTTTCTTATAAGTATTTCATACTATTGCCAAAAAATTTAAAAAATATATAAACGCAGCTTTTTCAAATAGATATTTTAAGTTCAAATTTGAACACAATTAGTTATTTAAATGAAGAATAACCATGTCAGTTATTTTTTTATGGTCAAAAAATATTATTCGTAGGTACTTATACTTAAAACTTTTGAAATATATTATTATATTTTATAGACACAAGGATATTGTCAGATTCAATGTTCTCGGGTAGAATTATTTCAACTAATAGTAAGATAAACTACATAAATAGCAATAATAATATTAGTTAGATCATGGCAACAAAATAGTTGATAAGCTAGCTAAATCTACCTCCAACACTTTCCTTTGCTCAATTGGCTCGGACTGATTTTACATCAATCTTATATTCTCACACAAACAACCTTTGGGCCCAACTACTGAAATAACTTGCCAACTTTGCAACCAAATACTAAATTTTTGTTCCTAATATCCTTAATAAAAAATCTTGGTACAACAACAAAGATTTACCAAGATCTAATATTATAAGTTTCAACCGATTCCAAGTGGAACATCTATTACAGTGAGTCAAACATGGATAGTTATGTTGCTCACCTTTTATTTTTTACGTCCAATTGGCTAGACCAGTTAGTCCATATTTGACATATTATCGGTACCTGAAAATTCTTAAATTAAATGTTAATTGTCTATACATACTTTAACCATAATTACTTTATAGTTTATTCAATAAATTATTTCAGAAAAATGTGTTCTTTATACAATATGCACATATGAACATGGTATCACGTAAGTATACACTTATTTGAATGGAAAAGTAATAATTTAATATTAAGAAGGTACTGCATAATATAGATTTAATATTTTCTCAATGTTGTATATTTATATTAAATAATACATTATATTTACTTTCATACAACATCTATCAGCTGGAAAAAATGGCGGATGTTTTAAGATAAATGTTGTTTACAGTTCGTTTATAAGAAAAATAGGACGTATATAAAGTTAAAGTGTAAACATAAAATAAATAAGAGAAGACTGGCGTTGTAGTTTTGCACGTCATACAGTGATGACAAGAGAATTTGACAAAGGAGAAATTTAAAAAGCGAGAATAACACTAAGGAAACATAATATAGGTACGTATGCAAACCATTTTTTTACAATTCAAAGGCTGCAAGGAGTACCCAAGTGTCAATTATATGAATAAACCAATATTGAATCTATGAGGGTAAACGCATTTTATTTCACGTGGATTGCATTTTATTATTGTTAGTTATTTGTTATCAGACAATAATGATAATACAACAGACCTAATTATAATGATTGCTCCCTTTTATCCAAAATGGTATGCTATGTGTGATAATCTGATGGTTGACAATGTACAATGTACCTACCACATCGTAAAGGTACCGCCCTACGTTTTTAGAACTAATAATTATTTATATTAATATTTTGTTATTTTATGATAAGATTGAATTACGAAAATTCAAATCAGAACAGGGTTTTTTTATTCTAACTTCTGATTTTAACTTTTATTCTATTACTTGATGTAATTCAAATTTACAATTTTTTTAAGGTGTTTTGTATTCTAAAAGATTATTTGAAATGAATAGGTACCTAATAAGTAATAATTATTTTTGAAAAAATGTTACATTCCCTCAATTATATATCAAAAATATAAATGTATTAGCTCTATTTATTTGAGTTTTACACAACTTGTACACTTCATTATATTTTCAAATTACCATAAAACTACCTATAGTATTATATCAATAAGTTCGTTTTTCGATCAACTGGTGTTTCTTCCAATCAATAATATAATTTTAAAAAAAGTGTAAAAACATCAAAAAAGATTTCAATATTGAAAGCTATATTCTCTGTCACAACCACGCGTAAATACTGTATAACCCTCTTAGATGTAATGTTATAAAATATATTTTCTTTAAAGGGAATGTTTTTGAATGTAAAATCATATTTTATACATTTTAAGGCGTTTAGTGTAAAAGCTATTTTCTATACTGCGTTCCTAACGAATAGATGTTTCAGGAAATTCGCAAAGATATCTTTAACGACATCGTTGCAGTTTATTTTGGTATTTGGTACTGAACAAATTTTAAATATTTTACCTAGTAATATTAAATCAGTAATGTCCTTTCAAAGTTGGATTATCGCACGCTACATGAATGACGAATGTATCTATACAAAACTGTTTGCAATAGTAAATTGTAAATATACACGTCTCGCATTCCCGAAAACTCCGATAGAATTTCCATCAATATAGTATTGCATATAATATATTTTACAATGTACAAATATGCTTTTTAGAAATAACAATTTTAAAATGCTTGTATTTACAACTTTCATCGAAATTAAAATATTATAAAAAGTTTACGTGGGACCCGGGATAATATTCTCACCCACTAAATTTTATAAAAGGTCAATTCATTCAAATATTAAACATAACAGAGTAAAATGGATTCTCCCGAACATAAACAATGGGTCATGCTAAGCGTTACAATTGTATAGGACGGATACGACACACTTGGGTGTACAACATCCTCTTAATAAAATAGTTAATCTGTGTGAGTAAATCTAATGAGTTGATCTGTTTTTGCGACATTGTGAACTCGTGAATTTTTTTTATAACTATAATTTGTATGATACATTTTTTTAATTCGTGTTATACTCATATCATTATTCATTTGTTATTATAAACATACATATAACATATTTTATCATCCACGTAGATTAAGAAAAGCTACTCTCAAACTATATCGTCTGATAAGTATGAAAGATAAAACCTCAAATTATTAAAGTTCATGTGAATATTTTGCACTTCTGCGTTACATTTGTATATACTTACATGTGTAGTAATTTCAATGTTTCTCGTACTAAACCAACTAAATCAAATATGTAGGGAACGCTGCATAAGCCATACTATAAGCTGCCTATACATTTTACTCGAATGAGATGGTACATAAGTATATGTCCTTCAAACATTACCTATATGAGGTATACTGACGGGAGATTTGCAAGCTCACTATAGGACTAAGCATATAATAATAATAGAGGACCATAATCCCAAAATACGTTAGTGTACGTATAAAACTATACAAACAGAACCAAGGAAAATTATTTTCGATCCTCGTCAAGTATAAACGACTTGATCCCGATTAGCTGTGTTAATTAAATAGATATTTTTCATAAAAAGTAAATGCAAATATTCACTCACATTTTTTTAGATTTTAAGTGGTACGAAGAATTTTATAATGATAATATGTGTTTTTGAAAATGTATTGTATCTGAAGATACTTTTTCAAGTAGAAAAAATTCTTTGATCATCGATTTTGGGAGAGATTTCTGTTAGAGAATTCTATATATAGTTGGTGCTTTTGGGCGGAAGAATACCTATAATAGTGTAGGTACCTTGTCAGTTGTCATTGAGTGTGTCAATGTGTAATGGATACAGTGTTAAATTGTAATTTAATGATAAATCGTTGCATACGATAGTGTATGCGGAGATAGTATAACTTTTTAATAACCGAGGTCATCAAAAAATATTATATATATTAACAAATATTTTTATACAATCTGCATATCGAGTTAGTGTGTGGCGTTAAAATTAATTATTCACCGTTGGTTTTCACTAAGACATCGGTTTTTCTAGTTTATAAAACACGTGCAGAAATATCTGCATCCAGCAGATGGTGAAGTAATTCATAATGTTAAAACAATATAAAATTATTGTTCTTTTTTTCTTGAAGGGCATGCATTGCTTTCAGATATTTGGAAATGTTCCGCACTCATGGTTTGCAGTGTTTGCGAATCATGATAGATATATT